TGGATGTTCCTTTGCCTATAAAAGGGGACCCTGGCCACGATTTTGTAGCATCAATTCTCTCCACCATATTCTAGTTTTCTTCATTTTCTTTGTAACATTTCACTATGTATTTCTAAACATTTAGCTAGAGCTAAGGGTGAAACTTTGATGAATGTTTAGTATTGTCTTTGATCTTTCATTTTGTTCTTCAATGTTCATCTTCTTACTTGGTTGAAGTTTGTGTTCTACAAATGGTTTTGGTTTGTTAAAGACTTTGATTTATTGTTGACAATTTTGGCACAATAAATGTTTAGATAATCTCTACATACCAACAACTTATTTTGACATATTCTCTCAAACAATTATCAAGATCTATCTTTTAGTATATTTGTGGTTAATGTTTTATCTTCCATATGAGATCAATCCTTAGTTGATTTTCATATGAGTTAAATTAAAGATCAAGTGCAATTTCTACTCATTTATCCGAAGTGAATCCCTGATGCTCTAGTGTTCGTCTTAATCGTATTTCCACCAACCGTTCATTACTCATAGAATAGTTTATTTCCTTCCAATTCCCTGTGGTTTGACCTCGGACTTCCGAGATTTACTACTTGCAACAACCTGCACTTGGGTTTGCAACCTTAAAGTTGTAGCACTGGGTCGACGACAACATGAAATCCTTAGCACCGCCCTAAAGAAGGGGTGCAAAGGAAGACGCATACCTACCTTAAACAGGTATTCACTAACTGCCATACAACCGGGCCTCGGATAGCAGGCCCGCTCGTTCGGCTCAGTAACTAACATTTCTATGGTGTGGGGGACACTATATCTCTCCCTGATCTCCCCCAACCTCTTCCACATCATACTTGAAGGCACCCTAGACGTCCCTCACTCTTCGGTATAATCTACTGGCTCCTCGGTCATGGCGTACCTATCAAACTCGAAATCTCCCCTGTGACTGACCTCATAATCTAACGAAGCTACTATCACCAACTCCCTACCCGAGGTGGACTCCATTTCGTAGAATTAACACAAATAAAAGGGCTCTTCTAAGAATAATACCTAAGGGAGGAACTACGCGAACGGAGATAGACCGGAGAGTGAAAGAACAAAGAGTCTCGACGCCGAAAAGTTCAAGATTTAGAGAGAATCAGATTGCGAATGTTCAAAAGTCCTAAAAAATGGGATTTTCTCACCTTTTATAGAGGTCCAGGACGAATCCTAGCCGTCAGATCGAAGCTTAGTCAATCTGAACCCTCCATTGTAGATCAAATCCGAGGCGTTGAATTTAAACGATTGTTCAAACCTACGCCTCAGATTCAAGCGTGCCTCCCACGTGCCCCATCCAACGCGTCTGCTTTTAGAACCTCCAGCTGTCCTCATAATTGCGTTTTTAATTCGACGGCAGCAGGCGCCTTGAAAGTCGTAATGGGTCAGCCACTTTTCCTCGAAAATGAGCACAAAATATCAAATCATGGCACAACTATCGACGCACAATCATTCACATTGAGCTTCGGCTTCCTCTGCAACATTCAGCCAACAAGCCTCACAAGTTCAGTTTTCCAATCACCTCGGCTTCCTCTTCAACATTCAGCCAACAAGCCTCGCAGGTTCGGTTTCCCAACCACCTCGGCTTCAACTTCAACATTCAGCCAACAAGTCTCGCAGGTTCGATTTCCCAACCAGCTCGGCTTCCTCTTCAACATTTAACCAACAAGTCCCGCAAGTTCGGTTTCCCAACCACCTCGGTTTCAATTTCAACATTCAGCCAACAAGTCAGGTTTGATTTTACAACCACCTCAGTTTCGTCTTCAACATCAACACAGCCTCGGTCTCTTCATCGTTCACCCACAACAACACATTTCTAATTCCAACTCTGATATAAATATCTACACTTGGACTTCGGGGACTATTATTTGGGGTTCAAAAAATTCTTTCAATTTTTACTTCATCCATTGAGCTTCGGCTTCCTCTGCAACATTTAGCCAACAAGCCTCACAAGTTCAGTTTTCCAATCACCTCGGCTTCCTCTTCAACATTCAGCCGACAAGCCTCGCAGGTTCGGTTTCCCAACCACCTCGGCTTCAACTTCAACATTCAGCCAACAAGTCTCGCAGGTTCGATTTCCCAACCAGCTCGGCTTCCTCTTCAACATTCAACCAACAAGTCCCGCAAGTTCGGTTTCCCAACCACCTCGGTTTCAATTTCAACATTCAGCCAACAAGTCAGGTTTGATTTTACAACCACCTCAGTTTCGTCTTCAACATCAACACAGCCTCGGTCTCTTCATCGTTCACCCACAACAACACATTTCTAATTCCAACTCTGATATAAATATCTACACTTGGACTTCGGGGACTATTATTTGGGGTTCAAAAAATTCTTTCAATTTTTACTTCATAAAGTTCACGCATTACATGAATGACTATACTTGGATTTCGGGGACTATTATTTGGGGTTCAAAAAATTCTTTCAATTTTTACTTCATTAAAGTCCACGCATTACATGAATAACCATACTTGGACTTGGGGGACTATTGTTGCATGTTGTCATACTTAGCCAATCCACCTGGGCTAATGGCCCACTCAGGCCGAACCACGTGGCACTCTAGCCGAGGTGGGCAATGGTCGAAGCCCTTCAAGTCGAAGTCCACTAGACGAGGCACCTTTTTACCGAGGCCCATGAATCGAAGTCATGATGCTGAAAATAGTTGAAGATAGCTGAAGCCCTCAAGCTGAAGTATTGTGTGAAATGGTCGAAGCCCAGAAGCTGATGCAGGAGCCTCCGAACCACAAGGGAGTGTCCTCCATGTTCACTTCTCTTAAGAGATCGTCTGCATAAAGATCTTATTCGAATGATTGATGAAACGTTTGTCATAAGTATAAAGGTCAAGTCTTGTGACTAGTATGGGGGCTCTACACAAGCAATAAATACGCTGCAAGCTAGCAAGTCAAACCTCATGCCTGATAAGATGTTTAAATCAGAGAGATGAGGCCACGTGCCACCTCATCCAAGGGCTCCCATTTCACGTGTACTACTATAAATACTTCCATTGTGTAACATTAAAAGACTAATGCAAGAATCGATACAAGGAACTACACTTTACTTAACTCTCTCTCATTTACTAGCAATACACAAATCGAGTTTATACACATTTACATATACATTCACGAACACCGGTTGGTAATTATTGTACAATCGGATCACGAACAACCCGCCGGATTCCAAACGTCACCGTCCCGTGTCGTTGGGCTACTCTCACGCTCTCTAAACCGCTCGTTTTAGACCGTCCAAGTGTCTTAGTGTGTTTGACATTCGCCCACGTGTGCGCGGGTGGGACCGGCATCTTTTGGCAACACTTTTTGGGGTCAACAAAAATCATCCATTTAAAAAATGTCGTCAAAGCTCAATTTTGTTAACCAATAGCAACATTCACTCATTAAAATGTTGCGGTAGACCTTTTAGCAACACTTAGCTATCGAATGTTACCTTTTATGTATTGCAAATAACCATTTTTGGTGTAGTACCGCAAATTGTTCTTGCAATATATGAAGACATTAATAGAGCTTTTTTATAACCTGGCATATTACATCCAGATGGCTTCCTGTGGTTATCTCCAAGGCCAGGACGAAATGAGGAAAAACCTTGCTATATTGCCAGAATCTTTTGCCAAATTTTTTGATATAATGTCACATGACATTTTATTGTTAGACTGTTTAAAAAACAGCCAATTTCTACATTTAAGCATACTTTGCCAACAAGTCATCTGTCAAGGAATCTGGCAACATTGCCCCCAGGGCATATCTCCCAATGGCAAAGGGGAGGGCGGATAGGGCTCAGCGCGGCAGTGTGCAGAGTTCGATTCCCCGCAAGGTGGAATTGACTTTGTTGCAAGCGGGAGTTACCATATGGGTTAACAGCCTTGGCCTATCCATATGCTCTCCACCCTGGCTCCTGGAAGGCACATCCTGCGATTTACCTCCTCCACGATGGCCCAGTGTAGGGTCGGTAGGGACCCTTAAGGTTGGAGTTCAACTTTTAGGAATCTGGCAACATTTTCTCGTAAAATGGCTTAACTCAATAAGGAAAGATGAAGGTGGACTAGAGCGCAAGTGTCAGTGTGAGCCCAAAAAAGGTGCGAATATCGACTAGAATAATACCAGTAGTTTGAAAGCGTTATCACATGGCCCGAGACACAGGTGACCGTTGTAAAAAAGTCTTTACCATAGCCTAAGCGGGAGTTATCATATGGGTTAACAGCCTTGGCCTATCCATATGCTCTCCACCCTGGCTCCTGGAAGGCACATCCTGCGATTTACCTCCTCCACGATGGTCCAGTGTAGGGTCGGTAGGGGCCCTTAAGGTTGGGATTCAACTTTTAGGAATCTGGCAACATTTTCTCGTAAAATGGCTTAACTCAATAAGGAAAGATGAAGGTGGACTAGAGCGCAAGTGTCAGTGTGAGCCCAAAAAAGGTGCGAATATCAACTAGAATAATACCAGTAGTTTGAAAGCGTTATCACATGGCCCGAGACACAGGTGACCGTTGTAAAAAAGTCTTTACCATAGCCATGTTCTAAGGGCATTGTGCTAGCCGTTGTATTCCAAATATATACAAAAATAAATCAACAAATACTGGCTCTACCTACTACTACTTCTTTCCTCTTCATACTTGTGTAGATGGTCATCTACATCCTGGGCTTGTTTTGAAGATTTTTCTTTTCATTTACTTAATCAGTGCTTCTGATAAAAACAAATTCAAAATGGTTTTATTTAATCAGAGCAATTCTACTCAGATTAAACCCACAAATACACAAGGTAACATTTACCGTGTTTGTCATTTTCATTTTCATTTTATTTTATTTTAAATTTTGGTTTTTGAGTAGAAAACTCAGAATCTAAAATGGTTTCGTTTATGAAAAAATTCGTGGACCAGAAGTCATTTTCATTTTCATTTTATTTTATTTTAAATTTTGGTTTTTGAGTAGAAAACTCAGAATCTAAAATGGTTTCGTTTATGAAAAAATTCGTGGACCAGAAATGGATAGCAGGAAATTTGGAATGGAGTTGGGACCTAACAGAAGAGCTTTAAGTGTGCTGAATCAGAAAATAGTGGGAGCTAATCCATTTCCCTGTGTTGTTAACAAGAGGATTTTATCAGAGTAAGTTTCATCTCTCCTATTTAAACATATTTAGTGTATGTTTTAGTGTTTTTAGTATATTTTTGAGTAAGAATTTGATGGGTAATTGCCATTTGAAACTCAGAAAAACTGGAGATTCTGATCCAAATCCTCCAATTCCAAGGTCAGAATATCGCCCTTTACTTTCTTGCTTTACATTCTATCTTCCACTTTTGCTAATGTCAATTTCTTGATTTATAAAGGAAAAATGCCTCACAAATGGCACTCTCTCACGAAACCTGTCAAGAGGTATCAACTCTCTTTCTCAAGAAAACGTTGAAATTTAAATGTATTATTAGCTGCAAAGTTGAAGAGTTAATTTGTAGATTTTGAACAGGATGCAAAGAAACCAAAGACAACGGTCAATGAGTTCACCATATGGGAGGATATCCCTCTAACAGACGTAGAGGATCAACCAGTGTCCATGTCTCCGGAACAATCAGAAACTGAGATTACCGAAAAAGATCAAATGGAAGACATATTTGAAGAGACTATTATGGATATTGATAGTTGTGATGCAAAAAATTCCCTTGCAGTTGTTGACTATGTTGAAGATCTATATGCATACTACAAGAAAATGGAGGTAACAATCCATAGATCCAATACAAAAACAAATTAATTATTAGTTTTAGGTATATAGTAGCATACATTATAGGTTACATAGAAATAAATATTAGCAAGAATCGACATTTTATCCTCGATTTTTTTTCAACATTTGATGTTTTATGATAGATCTCACGAGCCACTTTTCACCACTATTTATTTGGAATGAAATATTTTTGAAATTCTGCAGAATTGTAGCTGTGTTTCGCCAGGTTATATGGTAAAACAATATGACATAAATGAGAGGATGAGGGCTATTCTAATTGACTGGCTCATTGAGGTATACCTAATATTCCTTCTTATAATATGTTGTGTTTCGCCAGATTACAATCAATTATGTGGAATCTCGTGATCGATTTTTCTTTTTCGGAATCATAATCAACAGGTACACCACAAATTCGACCTTAGGGATGAAACATTGTTTCTAACTGTAAACTTAATAGACAGATTTTTAGCAAAGCAAAGTGTAGGGAGAAAGAAGCTGCAGCTTGTTGGTTTGGTTGCTATGCTTTTAGCCTCGAAATATGAGGAAGTTTTTGTTCCAGTCATAGATGATTTGATATTTATATCGGACAAAGCTTACACAAGACAAGAAGTCCTTCAAATGGAGTGGTTGATGCTCCACACATTGCAATTTACAATGTCTCTTCCAACTGTGCACGTTTTTATGAGAAGATTTCTCAAGGCTGCTCAGTCGGATAGGAAGGTCAGTTGTACAAGTCTTCACCTATCACACAATACTTTGTACCAAACATGTCGTTAATGTGTTAATGGCGAAATTACCTAAAAAAGTGTTTTTTTGCTGTTAGCTTGAGCTTGAGTCTTTCTACTTGATGGAGCTTTGCTTGTTGGAGTATGAAATGCTCAAATATTCGCCTTCATTTTTGGCTGCTGCTGCGATATATACAGCTCAATGTACGCTTTATGGTGTTGGACAATGGTGTAAGACATGCGAATGGCATACAAGCTACACAGAAGATGAACTAATGTGAGTCAAAATATATATACTGATTAAACATGATCACAGGATTTTAAGGCTCATTGTTTGTAATCATCGACCAGGGAATGCTCAAGATTGATCGTTGGTTTCCACCAGGCTGCGAATGGGAAACTTTCCGGGGTTTACAGAAAGTACAATACATCTAAGTTGGGATATGCAGCAAAATATGAGCCAGCAAATTTTCTAGTACAAAAGGCGCCATAATAAGCAGAGGATGTACAGTTACTAACGTCTTGTGACTTGTGTAATTGTGCTTATTCTTGACACAAAATAAGTAGTAACAACTTTACTTGCACCAGGACATTGTGATTTGAATTTGAGAGATTAAGGCCGCCAAAAGCCAAGGCCTTTAAGGAATAGATTACAACATTTTCAGTTGTATTTTAGTTTCATTCAATAGCTAATAAAATTAAACAAGTACACAAGTTCCTTATGTTTTTCAATGGTTGAAGTAGTCCTATACATGTAATACTTCTGGTATGATCAGTCAGTCTTGGGGGCCACTTGAATGTTTTTCTGATGGCAAATTTATTTTGGAGAATTTTCTAACTAGTTTATTTGTTGGACTGAAATAAAGTTTGGCAAGAAAAGTAAAATAATCTCTTGCCTAAAATTCTTTATTAGATATTCTCGCTCCTCAACGAGATATAGAAATTCTTTTCAACTTTGCTTGCTTTGACGACATTGCCATTTTATTTCAAATTCGAGCTAAAAGGAAGATAAAGAATTTGGATAAACTTTTGAAAAGAGAAGATATATCTGTCAAAATTTACAATAAATAGACATCATTTACAAGCTCAAAAGTACTGTGTGAGAGAAATTTCCTGAAATTATTTAGAGGGACATTTTGGTATCTGTTGACAATTTTAAAATGCAATGGTGTGGTCCCTTTTACTTTTTGACATTTAATTGAAGGAATTTGTTGTAAGTCTACTTTTAATGAATCATTCATGCATTGCTTAGTTGTTGTCCCCTTCATATTATGAAATTCTGGAAAAAGATGGTTGAACATAATTAAAGTGCAATTCAAAAGTTTCAGAAATTGAAACGAAAACAGCATTGCTTGCAACAATTTCAAAGGGGAAAAAAGGTTCAACTGAAAAGAATGCACTGTACAGGTCGAAATCTAAAGCTTACAAGGACTGTTAAAAAGAAAAAAAAAAAAAAAAAAAAAAAAAGGATAAATTTTTTTTAGTTTTAGTTGTTTATAACGTCAACGGCTATTTCGTTTTATAAAATATACTTACTATCATAAATTCTCGTTAAAGATGTCAATTGCAGTTACTCGTCATTTTTTTGGTCTTTATCTACTTTAATTCACCACAATTTAAATTATAGAATAATGCTATTTGTAGTCAGCAACTACAGTAATCTTTCTATTTGGCATCATATGTTGCAGATTGGTATTTGAGACATCAATTTTCTATAACTTTGTTGCTTCCAATAATAAATTAATGCCTCAATATATAGGATAATTACTGCAGTCCTCGATTATGAATTTATTACTCTAAACTTTTAGATGTACAACTATTATTATCCTAAAAAGTAATGTTATCTAGTATCATTGGTACAAGAACACTAATCTAACCTATGTTTCAATCTATTTGGAATGTACTTTTAAGTATAATTTATCTTATGTTTGTTATTTATTGAAGAGGAAAACTTCTAAGAGGGGTAGTGGACCCATTGCTGATACCTTAATTTCTGTAACTGACGAAAATTCGCAAGTGAAAGTTTGATCGATAATTTACTAAAAGCACTATCTAATGTGTTGGTAACTACCAGTCAGTGGTATTTTCTGTAAAAACACGTGTCACAAATTATCAATAGAATGATCCATTGGATTATTTTCTTCTTTCCATGGATGGAATACCAACGAATTTTGTCTATGAAACAATTTCATTTTTTATTTTGTCGGTAGATTACTATTCTAATTTGATAATAATTGGAAATAATTCGTCTCTAGTCCTCCAATAAATTTCGATTGTTATTGACTCATATTCTGATAGTATCTTCCTCCATTTTGTCCTCAAAAAAAAAAAAAAAAAAAAAAAAAAAAAATTCCCTCCTCACACTATTCCAAACATATTATCGTCTTCCTCAGTCTTGATTACTGCCACTCTCCAATTTCATTGGGAGAGTTTTCGAACAAGCCATGTAAAATAAATTTGAGATCAATTATGCATGACCTAAAATGTCTCTTTTAAATATGAACTCGTTGGGCCACAGTCCACCAAAAAGGTCCATGCAATCAAATGGGCTGACTCGACCGAGATATGTCAATAGATTTGAATTAAAGGAAAAGCAAGAAAAAGTACCGTTTATTATGCAAAAAAGCCTATTATATAGACAGCAAAAATTCTATAAAAGGCTAAAATTGACAGCCCACTCCATTTAAAAGGCATGCCAAAGTCAGTCTTATACCCATCACTAATTAATGAGCATAGAATTGTGTCAATGCACTGACAGTCATTGTGGTGTTGTCACTAGTGCGGGTACATGCCATTGTAGCGCTAGAAGGACAAAGGGAATGAGAGTAAGAAGTTTGATTGGAGCATTTCGTCAAGTATTTACAATGCGAACCCATATAGCAATTGAAAATACGGAAGCTACGACATATTATATCAAATCCAAGAAAGCCTAGAATCAACTTGAATTGAAAAAAGGTCGACCCTATAAATTATTAAACTAAAGAACGAAGACAATCGCAAACAATATTTTGACCCTTTGATCAGAAAATCTATGAATCTTACTTGAATTGTTGAATGCCACAAGAAATTAATCATTGATAAGTTCAAAAATTAATTCAATGAATAATGAGTAGAACGCAAATATGCCTCGCAATTATATCTATCAAAATTGTGTTGTTTTACAATGATATAATGAGTCCTACTTATAAGGAACTCATAAAAATCCTAGCTGAAATGGAATTTAAGTCTAAAAACACTAAAAGATACTATAAAATAGAGTTTTAACAAAAATAGAAGATTACGCAAAATTTAAAGAATTTGAGTCTCTGATTTGCACTATATGGTCGCATAGATCATTCCAATTATTCAGCTGGATTCTCTGCATAGTTACATATCATCTCATAGTAGTCCATTTTGCCTCCAAGTTTGAGTTCTTGATTCAAATGCATCCCAACTTGTTTTCACTCCTACAGCCAACATGAAACTTTGTCTTTAGTTTGGTAATGTCACCATCTTGTACTCCATAAATTGAGCAAGTGATTGCATGGCTTCTTTGACTCTTTGATCTTGAACTTGCCTTTAGCCTCTTTTAAACATACATTGAACTCTTGATATTGGTTGCTTTCCTTAGATCCTATCATTCCCTCCTTCTTCAAAATGATTCAACCTCAAATCTGTACCAACATCAAAGAGAGCAAGATAAGAAACATCAAAAATGCAAATTATCACAAACTTACTTGGAAGATCAAAATTGTAGCCATTGCTTTCAATCCTTACAATGACGTGGAATGGTTCATCTCATCTAGGATGAAACCTCTACCTTCTTTGCATTTGAACACGCCCTTTTGCCTAAGAACCTAAAACAATCACCTGGTTTGAATACTTTATGCCTTTTTTGTTTGCTACCTTAAGATGCATATAATGCTATCCCCTACTTTTTATCTAAACTACCACTTACAATAATAGTTAAAGGAACTAAACCAAACAAAGTTAGCTGATTTAAACCATAAACCATATCAAATTGTATAGTAGAAGTAGTAAAGGATACTAAATTAGTTCATAACGTATTCCAAAAATTCGAACCAAAACAGTTAAGGACTTCAGGATTGAAATATAGATCATCATGCTTAAAATCACTAGCAATACACCCCAATTGTCTATCATGCTCAATTTTAATTTTCGCAACATACTAGAATATCATAAACTAGTAAATGATTGCTTATGAATGCCTATGACATGTCCCATGTGAAAAACTATTCTTACATGCTAGACCATCATCTAACCTATGTATGGGGTATTGATACTTTACCATGTCATAGTTGTATGTGTCTCCTTTGTTACTGCTCCTTATCATTCACTTTGATTTGTACGATGAGAGCACGCATCACTACAAGTTCTCCATCACCATTACCCACTAATTCTCTATTATCACGCAAGATCATTGGCCTTTTGTTTAGACATTGGGAAGCAATGTTCTCCAATCCCAAGCACCTAAAGTATTTGATATCCCGATTCCTAGGAGGTTGGGAATCCAATTTGGGTGTAGCTTCGCAAGCAACTTCTTCATTTTCCTTGGTGATCTGATCTTATTACTCGAAATAGCCACATCACCTCTATTATCTTCTCATTTCTATTATCATCTTACATCACCTTCATTCCTCTTCAACTGTTGCTCCACCTTCATAGCTACATACAGCATGTCTTCCAACTCCACGTATGTAGAAGCCCGAGAAATAAAATGAAATTATGCTATTATATTGTGATGATCTAACACCATAAGTCTAGCCCATTTAAAAAAACGAGCTATAGAAGCTCAACACATTTAAGATTTTGAAAGCCCAAGCTATAAGTTAATTAAAAGCCCAACAATTTAAGAGATTTAGTTTAAGTAAATTTGATTACAAAAATTTAATGAATAATTAGGTTGCCACCATAGTCATCTATATGGAATTTCATATAGGCAACCCAAGTTCGAATCACAATGTAGATTTTTTATAAAACTTTTATATGAATTATTTTTTATGACTTAGAGACTTTTCAAATTCTTAGTTAAAGATCAAATTTAATAAATTTAATGATAATACAACTCCCCCACTTAGTTTTTTATAAAAAGAAAGGTTACAAGAGGTGGAATGTCACTTTTTCACTACACCCCTTCTCAAATCTGAATTTTCTCTTATTTTCTCTCAAAAAAATGTATTTCATGTCAATTTAAGCTAAGGGAATAACAAGGATGAGAAGAAGAAAGGCTTTCTACACATTTTGTTCTTTGACATCCAAGAAAATTTATGGTAGATAGAGGTGCAAGTGTTTATTTCATTTTCAAATTATGATTTTCGACAAATGTTTGAATGAAATGGTACCTTCGAGTTCAGTGCTTCGGCACTACAGCAGTTTGAATTTTTTCAGCTCTACGTGTTATGATAAAGCTATAGTAATTGAATTTTCCCTTAAATCCATCTACGTGCGATGGTATGAATCTATAGTTCAAAATTTTTAATTTGACAACGAAATACACCAATGATATTTATTGAGTGTCAAACTTATGAGTTAATTTCATTCCTACAGGTTGAATGGATTTTCTTTGGGACGTGGATGATGGTAAAGGATGATGCAGCATGTCATGGAGAAATCGGTGATTTAATATCTTTAGTTGATTATAAAATGTTTACGTTTTCTTTAAATTAGATTCTTATGGATGTCGTGTGTGGATCTATTCTACTAATATTCTTTGTGAATAAATTATATTTGAAAGTAGATATGTGTCATATGAATGAATTTATAAATCACTATTTACAAAAAATATGTTAGCG